AAGTTGAAGATTATAAGCCAGATAGATATGTCTTTTAGATCTTATGCAAAAGTAGAATTAAAATAAGTTAAAATCTTACCGCACTTTGTTTTCTCTCCATGGATCCATGGCCAACGCCCAGTTTCTGAAGACGGTCGACTGACATTGTTTTTTTTCCTCATCAACGAAAATGTCTTGTTCTTTTTACAAAAACGAATTGCCATTGATTTCTAGATAAACAACCTTTCTTGGACKAGGAAAAACAACCAAGTTTATTGTCGAATATAGTACGCTTACGGAATTTTTGAGTCGGATCAGCACAGCTTTCATTTCTAATTCGTTTTGAATTTAGCTTTTTTGCCTTATGTTTTATGTTTTGAGCGGAACATCGTCATTTTAGGGACTGCGTAATATTTATCAGGAGGGGGTTTGAGAATCCAGAGGGGGCAACATTCAATTTTATGTGCTTAAAGAGGGTCAATGTCTAAAATTAACTAGAACTTTAATTTGGAAACTGAAATATCAGCTGTGTCAGACTCGAAAACTTCTCAAGAAAAGCGTCCACAATTTGCGACAACTCTTTATTCACGAATAAATAAATAAAGAACGGGGGGAGGGGGGCAGGTTGTAATTTATTTCGTTTGCGAGTGGGGTAGTAATTAACATTTTTGATTTTTGGCTCATTACTCAACCCCCCCCCCCCCCTCCCTTCTCCTGATAAATATTGCGCGGTCACTTAGAGCAAATTTCCATCTCATCATCTTATAGCTCCTTTTAAAGAGTATTTCGCTGTCTTGAATTGTTTGACCTGTAAAACGAGGTCTTGAATTCATGACTATTTCTACTCAAACTCAGTCTTGTGGGTGAAAACGAAAAAAAGCGGGGAACAGAATGTGCGCGCGTACGCCACAACAAAAAGGGCGGGAGTTCAAAATAACTACGGAACAAAACTTACATATAATAATTATAGACACATAGCCAACAACTTATTAAGTTCTCTTGCTCGGTCAGAGAAACATCAGACTTAAATTTTGATTTGTATCCACCTTTTTGTTAAAAAAATGACACGTCGATTAATAATTACCATGTTTCGTCACATCCGCTCACAAAATAGACTTCTGAACCTTTTACGTCACTACTTGATTTGCATTGCATTGTGGGACCAGTTTCAAGAGAAAACAAAAGAAATCCGCCATGTTTTGTCCCAAACATGTCCTACAATGCATTGCGTATACGGTACATGACGTAAAAGCTGCAGAGGGATGCAGATGTCTATTCGAGAGAAAAAGAATAGCCGAGTTTAGATATTTTGGTTCAGTGACCATGCACAAAAGAATTGCAGACGAGGCTCCGGGGAAATAAAGGA